GACTGCTCTTTTAGAAGACAACAGACTCACTTGCGCAGACAACAAAGCAAAGCACGGAAAAATGAACCTTCTGAGAATACAGACTTAGTGCTATTCTAATGACAACAATTTTTCGTGCTGTCTTTTGTTTTTTATATAGTCTCTGCGCATGACAGACTGTTGTCAACTAAAGCAGCGGTTGTTCGCTTTGAAATGGAAAACGCGTATTAATAAGGAAAGTATAGACCCCTTGCATGTGACGTCAAAGCAGCTTCATCTGGAGGGCAAAACAAACGATTTTTAACCTCTTGGGAACTAGAATCCATTGTTTTGTCCTCCAGTTGCAGCTGCAKTCCCATGAACTGCAAGGGGTCTATTGAAGGAATACAGATCTCACGAGGGGATGCACCCACCAACTGGATCCCCCACTGGATTTCACAACATCATGTTCAACAAAGGATACGTGTCAACCCTGCATACAGGGTCTAGTTACAATTAAAAAGAAACACGTTGCCGATATTATATATCATGCTTGATATGTATCATTAAAACAAGACACCATCAACTTATTTTCCGCACTAAATAAAACCCCGAGTGCACGCTGACAAGCGTCTTGTTAGGAATATAATTGATTTAGTAAGAAATAAATTATGTATGACGTTGTCTAAAAAAGTTATGCTAAAGCGGTTCATCAACCTATCGTATTATGCAATGATTGACACCAAAAAAACATACACTCAAGCGTAAGAATTTACCGATATTAGTGAACTACGGTGACGGGAAAAAAGGCTGATCTGCTTTGGTAACTCCCAATTATGAAGGTAATACAAGGACGAAAGTGTTGACCAAAACATTCACACAATTCAATAATCTGACAGATTTACTTAAGAGTATTTTTTCAAATAAAAGAATTTTTACTGCCTATAGAAGGCCTAAAAATTTGAAGGAAATTTTAGCACCTTCTAAACTAAGGGATAGATCATAGGCACTAGTGAGACTGATAATAGTGAGACTGGTTGTGTTAAGTGCACCAGTCGGCGCTGTGACCTCTGTAGCAACTATTTTCAGTCTTCTAGAAAATTTAGCAGTTTTGTTACTAAGAGATTTTATTTTATCAAGCAGAAATTAGATTGTAAGTCTAAGAATGTTATATATTTAGCTTCTTGTAATAAGTGTAAATTGCAGATAAATTTAACACCGTAAAAAAGTATGTGAAATAACTTACTGACGTTTCGGACGTTAATCCTTCGTCGGAGTAAAGACGAAGGATTAACGTCCGAAACGTCAGTAAGTTATTTCACATACTTTTTTTACGGTGTTAAATTTATCTTTTTACACAACTATATAGTAATGGATTTGTTTAGTAAAATGGCGAAGCCACTTGTAAGTCTGGTTCGGTTTCAGCTCTAGATCAAAACTTACACAACAGATCATCCAACCATTTTGGAAACACATTATTATTATTCAAGTATTTTTCATGATAAGGTGGAAGCTGGTAATCAAACCAGAAACTCCCTTGCCTTCTTTCCCAGTTTTCTCGGTCTTTTTCAATCATGAATTTGCTGATTTCTCCGTTACTTTGTTTACAGGTTTTCTGGTCAGATATTTTACTTCTCTACTCACTCAAATCGTACGTTGCATATTCACAAGAGTTTCGAGCAGTTCATCATATTAATGAAGACCAGGAATACGGCTTTGCTCTAATTGGATCTGTATTCAAATCGTTCGTATCCTCAACTTTTGCACTTTGTTGGTTAGAGTGTGAACAAGACGAACGATGTAGGAGTTTGAACTATCACATGACAACAGCARCATGTGAGCTGAACGAGAAAACAAAGAACTCTCAACCAGAGAACTACAAGAGCAAGAGTAACAGCATCTACTGCCCTTGGACACTCTCTGACAGTAAGCACTCAATGTATGATTTTTTAAGGTGACCCCAGAGTACAAAAAAATAACTCAAGACTATTCATTCGTATATGGAAAGGACTAACTAGGTAACATGKWMCATGAGATTGAAATTACCTTTCACGCATTAAATTTAAAAAGAAAATCATTTTCAACCGAAAGGGAACATGCTGTTTGGCATTTCTGTGTAGAAATAGAAATTGAGTTGGATTTTCGAAGTTATGGGCATTGATTGAAAATTAATAATGCGAAAGTGATCTCACTGTTTTAGACTTTTTCTATGGTTTGGGTCGTTTATGCTTCATATCAGGGAGCTCAGAGGAAAATTACAAGAAATGACCGCAGTGCTCCCAGGCTAAGCACTTGTGTTCCTTTCACACGGCGAAGTCTTGGTATTGAGTGTTTGGCGGCTGAACCCCAGATGAAACCTCAACTTTTCTTCTTCTTTATTCCTTGATATTTTTCAAAACTTATTATAAAGTTATTATCCATGAAACGCCTATACTTCCCACTTTCTAAAAATTGTAATTTTCACAGACACATTTTGACTCATTCAAAACGCTATTTACTACACAGCTTCCTGGATAATAGCACATCTAATTTCATAGGGAAAAAAACATTTGTTTCATCGCTTGCCCTTTTCATTTACTTCGCATTTTAAATACGAGTGCACAAGCCCAGTTTTAATTTCTGAATGGAAACTCTTTGTAGGGCCATTTTGGGAAAAAGTCAACGCTAATCCTGTTTGTTTTGGGGCAAGAGACGACACATTTGGCAGTTTTCTGATCAACGTAACGCGCGGATTGATCAACGAGGTAAAACTGGTCCATTTGTCTGGAGGTGTAACTTGCAAGAAAGGACAATTGAGCAATTGGGGATGTGGCGACGGGCTAGCTACTGTATTCACAGACAAAAGCAACAACAGGCTCGCTCCTAAGGGTCGCTGGATCGTGGATTGRAGTAAGTTGGTGTTCAAAATTCCAAGTTATGATCCCTTTATTTCAGCAAAGCTTAAGATGAAGTTGAGAACATCTATCAACATAACCGCTGGTCAAGAGTATCGCTTGTGGTACGGCGAAGATTTCAAAAATGTTTCGGAAGGTGATAACAGTGGTACTGCCTGTGTGGACGTCCACATGTACGGACTGTATTAAAAGCCCATTGTGGTACTGCACGTACGGCTTTTCCTAACTTATTTAAACATGATCTGCTCTTTTAAATGTGCTCTGTATTAGATGCTCTGTATTCAGACAATAACAAAAGAAACCATTGTTGAGCAATTTTAATAGTACAGAATACCTTGAATGTGTTTACTACCACCTCTGAATTAGCTGGTAGGAGCCGATGTTTGTGTTTTGATGCCCAAAAGGGATTTCACTTTTTTAATAAGTGTAATTTTGATGAACTAATTACTAAAGTGTGCAAAATACCAGTGCTAGCTGAATAATAGAATTTTTTAAAGGGAGTCTACAATTATTTTTTTACATTCCTAACATCTTGGTATCAAATGTTCCGGTTCCTTRGCTCCAAACACTGATGAGCTTGAATGTGTTTTGAACAACAATGGTGTTGACATTGCMTGTATTTCTGAAACATGGCTTGATGACGAGGTTCCTGACCAGGCGGTCGCAATAAAGGACTTCTCGTTATTCCGGAGAGATCGAGAATCACGTGCTGGTGGAGTTGCCGCTTATGTA